TTGTGGTCAGGATATGGACAGACAACAGCAGTATGATTTTTCAGCTTTTAGGAGAAACTGCTAAAAGAAACAGTCTATGGCAGAATACATTGAGAACTGGAAGTGAGGTGTGACTTCAGGTCTCCAAGCCTTACCCGCTCATCTCAGAGGTCTCCTCCTCCTCTTGGTCGTCATAGCGCGCAGGTGACCGTGCGTGAGGTGGGGTGCGGCGTTGGCGACGGTACGTGAGCAACTGTGTGTCTGCGTCACTGTCTGTCTCTCCATAGTAAGCCTCGCTGTCTGGAGGGGAAGTGATGCCCCTGGGCATCCCGGAGTTGGAGAGGATGGAGGAACGGTGGGAGGGCGAAGGGGTGGGAGACAGGACCTTCATGGTGGAGCGGGGTGATGAAGAGTGGAATCCAGAAGGGGCCCTGGAAACACATGATGACAAGTTGCGAAAATGCAAAACATGCATCATTTTGTTTGATATTGATCAAATAGTGTGTGATGTACTGTCTGTGTGTGAGTACATGCGCTGACCTTTTAACCCTCAGGTTGAGTGTAGCGCTCTGTGTATCAATGAGGCTCATGGCCTGAGCATGACTGAGCTCTGCACACATATGGTCACCAATGGCAACCAGCTCGTCATGCTCCTTCAGTCCAGCTCTGCAAGCTTTGCTGCGCCTGCGTACCTGCAGAGCGGAAAGGGGTTAATAACACATTAATACTTGTAGCTGTGAAAAACGCTCAGTAAACATATTTATTTTACTTATTTGACATGTGACGCCCCTCCTACTGTCTTGTAGGTTGTTATGAACACCCTCAGTGGGCAATTGGCTGACTTGGGATGGTCGTCAGCTGATTTGAGCACAAGAACAAGAATATTTGGACTTTGGTGACTCCTAGTCGCAGTATCCATTCACCAACATTCTGTCCTACTATGGACATTGAGAATGAATGGGTTAAAAACACCACATACACACTGCACCAGTCTTCACTTTTCTACAAACAAAAACTTTCACAATAATTTTATAATTTACTCATATAAAAACTATATACATAGTGACTTTAAAGGCCTTGAAAAAACTTTGATTCTTGTTTATTTAATCATGAATATTTAATGTTATCCATGTCAATTTTCAGGGGCTTTATTCTCTACAGAAAATAACCATCTCATCAGCCATATTATAGAGCAGTCATTCAGGTTGTTACTTCAGTGTACTGTATGGTGTTAGTGCGTCTTGTAGAACAACTGATGTGTTAAGCAACAGGGATCTCTCTGCTACTACCAGCCACTCATGTCCCTGTATCAGAATAACTCATGAAGTCATGCAGCTGTTGCTGGAGGTCGCTAAGAGATGATGTCATAGGATCGTTCAGGAAGCATGTCGGTGTGGGGTGGGGGATATATGGATCAGAAGGGAAAGGAAAATTCTTGTCTACCAGACTGTTTCCTCTTAAAGAAGATGATAAGGTAGCTCCCTCTGTCTCCTCACGCATACCCATATCTTATCACTGTAAAAATGTTGAGAAGAGGAAAGTGTGTTCCCACACCTACTTGGACTCTTAAGAGGACACAGTATTTGCCTTATCAGTATCTCTTGATCCAATAATCCCATAGCAGCGGCACACAAACACGTGCAAAGACAAGCTGCCCACTCTGACAAATGTACACACGCATATACACACACAGCACAAGTGAACATCGTAAAAAAAAACAGTTTGAACAGCTGCAGCACCAGTCTGAACCAGGGGGGATGCCTGTCAATCACCATATGTTCCTCACATACCCAAAATAAAACCTTGCAGGAAAATCGCATTCCTGGACAGATGAAGAAAGACAGGCGCTACTGGCAAACAGAAAAAAATCTTACAATAAAGTGCACAACTGTGTGTGTGTGTGTGTGTGTGTGTGTGTGTGTGTGTGTGTGTATCTTTGTGTGTGAACAAGAGGCCTTTTTCCATCCTCAGCTTCCAACGCCTCTTAAATGAGCTATTCTGATCCTCCAGTTTGCGCTCCATTCCCAACCGGGCTTATCTGAGTTATGGCCAACTACACACACACACACACACACACACACACACACACACACACACACACAAACAAAAAAGAGGAAGCACACACTGATCAAACTCTAATTAAAGGTGATCTTATATGCTTGAAAATTCTGGATAAACAGAGGCCTTTGGTGCCAGAGCCACTGTACCTCCTTATGAGTGACTGGCCAACTTTTAAAGCCAGTGTGAGCGAGGTTGCATTCCTCTCCAGAATAGATTTACTTATTAGAGAGAACATTCTGGACTGTCAACAAATATAAACACAGACAGGAAAAGCTTTTGGAGAAACCAAACAAGGTTTAAAAAGAATATTCCTTAAATTGTCAGACAGACAGACTTGGAGTCGGTGCGAGGAGGGAATTCCTTCATCATTAAAGTTGGCTTACTATGTGACTTACTATGTGGCTTGATATGTGACAATGACAAATCTGAAACAAGTTCATTATCTACTGTATGTGTTAACAGTGGATACGTTCATGGGCAAAAGAACACACACATGCAATATATATGTGTATAGTAATATAATAATCATAGTATTATAGAATGTATATATACGCACACTAACTTATTTAAAAGAAACACTTACTAATCTCTGCTACTGTGTGGTCACCATCAGGATGCAGTGATGAAATCCAAGTCAAGATCAACCCCTAACATGTGTTCATACTATTCTCTGACCCAGAAACCAAACTGAATCACAATTTAAATTGGCTACAGCCAAATTAGAATTAGTGTACTCCTAAGTATATCCTAGAGGTACTGTTGCATGAAGTAGAGGGAGTATTACTTGTGGTCAAAACCGCTCAAGTATAGATAAAAGTGGAATTTTATCTGATTAACAATTACTTAGATAGAATTTCAGAGTGAAAGGACATCCTGATTGATACACTGATTATAAGCATTTCAATATGACTTCACCTATCAAACTAATCCCAAATTCAGTGTTGCTATCCAAAGTAAGGTAAAGCTGATGATACACAGAGCAACTTTTAGAGCAATCGTGCAGGGCAACGTTGCCATCAGTGGTAATGAGTAAAGGTTACTACCGTAATCCCCTTCCCCCACCACCCCGCCACCCACCCCGCACCGCCGCTATCCGTTCAAAACATAGTCGGACTTGCCACTAGCAAGATTGCCCAGCAACATTGCTCAAAACGTTGCCCCCCAGCTTAATTCTAGCTGAGAATGAAATACAAATGAAAGTAGAATTACTGACTTTAGAATGCACTCACAAAAGTACAGGTGAAAAAAGCTACATAATTACACTGATAAGAGTATTTAGATATTTTACATCCCAAGAAATATCTACAAGCACTGGAGATTTAAGCTCATAGTGACACCAATGCAATAAGCCACTGATTAATTTATTCAGACTGTATGTTGACTATTAAGAGTCTAACCAAAGCTTGAATTACAAACATTGCACAAACACAAGACTGACCATCAAGGCCTCAGACCGCAGCTGTAGTCTCTATTAAACCCATCTACTCGTTACCACCTTGGCCATAAGTCTTCACTGCATCATACTGTACGCACTCACACACACACAGGCTCCACTGTACCTTGGCCACTTGTAGAGGCTTTTGCTGCTCTGCGCCTCCCTGCAGTCTGAAGCCCCACGGGGCCCCTCCTGAGAGAGAGACCACAATCTCCTCCGCTACCATCCCTGCTCCCAGCTCCCAGCCTGCTGTGTGTGTGACGGTGCACAAGGTGCTCTGCCCTTCTTCGGTTCCTCACACTCTCTGCGAGTATCAATGAGTGAGTGTGAGGCTCCTGTCTCCCGCTCCTCTCCGTGATCAAATCACTCCACCCATGAGGAGACGGGGTGGCTGGCTTTCATCTGCTTACACTGGAATGCTGTGTTGGAGGGCGGACATTCAGGAGGGTGAGAAGGAGCAAAAGTGTGTGTGTGTGTGTGTGTGTTCACCCTCCCTTGTATTCAACACTTGCCATGTCACTCTCAAGCACTCTGTAGAGGAGGGGATGCTTGCTGATTTACCGTCCCGAAATAACCACCACCACCACTCCCTCTTTGACCCCTAGCTCAGCCAGCCTGGCCAGCAGCCACGGCTCACAGATTTGTCTCCATCGACCCACAGCACCCCGACCTTAAAGCACAAAAGAGGGGTGTGAGGAGGACATATTTTAGGAATTTCTGTCAATTTACTGTCTGTACAGTTTAACAGCTTCAGAGTGAGTACTAGAGGGATTTGTGCTCCATGACCTCCTGGGAAATTTTTTTTTAGTCCTTCTGCTTCACTTTGTTAGTAATAAGGCAAAAAGCATTAGAAAATTAGTCCAGCAAATGAGGGGCAGGTTCAATGTTGGTAAGCCTGCTGGCTGCTGCACATTAGCTTCAACACCTCTGATCCTGCTGAAGAAAAGCAGAGGATTACAGAATTTAGGTAGCCAAAATGATTCGGCCCAATAGCAGCTTAAATCTGATCACCTAATGAAACTCATGCCAGCTTTGTTATGAATAGCCCCACTAAGATTATTCCAAATTGGACCTGATTGCAAAGGGACCTGGGTCCAACTTTGGCCCAAGTCCCACTAACTGGAGCTTTTTCTCAGCCCAGATTGCATCCCCAAACGTAGCCAAGTCTGGCTCACATTTGGTGCTGACCCAATTCAGATGGCTACCTCTTGACACATTATAAATATATGATCGATGACTGGGAGGAATGCAGGATAAGCGGTTGATGATGGATGGACTGGGAGGATCGCCATATAGCCTAAGGGAAACTTCAAAGCGCCAATAAAGTTATACCTGTGCAAGACGTATACGGGAGCAAGACGCCCTAAAGGGTAACACACACCCCTGTGTAATTCTAACAAAAAACACAAAATATGTTAATAATTTTTAATATAGTAAACCTGGGCCTCTTTCAGCACTAGAGATATGCTCTTGGTTGCAGTAGAGAAGAATGCGGAGGAAGTCGCTCGGCGCAGGCCGGATGTGGACGTGGCACAGCGCTGCAGCAGTTCCGCTGAATGTCCGCTTCTGACTCCAAGAAGGGATTAGTGAGAAACACCCCGGGACGACATTGGCTTCATAGTTTATCGGCCCCCGGGTTTTACAGTTTGTCCCGAACAGAGGATAGCCTTACTATTTACAACACTTCGGAGGTATGTTTCGATTTGAAAGCAGTTAGTGTGTGACAGGGGAGCTGCCCGGCTTGACAGGGGGAGCTTGGCTTTTGGTTCGTTTGCTAATGCTAGCTACTAGGGCTAGCATTAGCAAACGAAATACCTGGCGGTCACTAGCTTAGCTGGTAGGCTAACATTTGCTCCCCCCGGTTTGTGGCGATTTGGTCACAGCTGATTCAACCACGACTGCTGTCATCATGATTCAAACTGGTTGCTAACGTTAGCAAGCTAAGTCAGCCCTCACGAGTTGGAAGTTTGTTTAATCAAAGGTGTTGTTTGCCGTTTCGTCCCGCTGGTTAGACTCGTAACAGTTGGCCATATAACGTTTATGTGTTACTCAGGGTCTGTGTGTGGAGAGTTTGGTTGACATGTAGACTTGCTAATGTAACGTTAAGCTAGCTGTTGAGCTGATCGTAATACGGCACTGAGGTTATTCCCGTTAGCACACTGCTAAGCTCGGCTTTGCTGTTGTCACACTTCACCCACACGAAGCTGGCGTTTGACTTTCCTGTCACATGTTTCTTACTCTCAAAGATTACGTTTCTTTGCGAGTTTTAAAATAGGTTTTGTGGTATCTCGCGAAATTGCTAACCTATTTCCTTAATTGTGCGATCTAGCCAGGAGAGCAGATGTGGGTCACTCGGCAGGCCCGACATACTAAATAGCTGTACGGCTCCCGATTGTATTTCTCGTTGTGGCACCTGCACTGCTGAATTATTCAAAGGCCGCGCTCGTTTAGCTCGTGTTTGTCTGTTAGATGATACTCGTCACTCCATCATATAACGTTAGGTAAGGCCAGTCTGCAGAAGTCAAACGAATAAACAACCTATACCCGTGCACTTCTGTGAGCAAGGTTGACGTTGACATGTGTCCAGGAGTAATCATGCTCATAAAGTTGACTGCCCCGCTACCTTTAGGGGATCAGCTCATTGACTCGACTGTAAGGGCCTGTAATTACATTCCCTTGTAGACATTACACACCATCTTAACTGTATCAGGCATTTATTCTTACCCTCATAGCTGAGAGAGTATTAGTTACTAGGTTTGTGTCTGTTTTGCTTCAAATGATTTGACTTGCTTGTGTGTAAGTTTAAGTAGTGTTGATTTCAGTGTGGGCACCTTGTCTTAGTATGCATTTTCTTCCCCCATGTGAAGCATTTATTGTTGCTCAGCCAGTGGGTGTAAACCTAAATGTTAGTGACTAAGATGCAAGTAGTGGGTGTGGCCACAGCAAACATAAAAAGCTAATAAAGGTGTCACTGAAACAGCAAATATTAATGTCATGAATGTCTGACTTGTATCAAAGTGTAAGAACTTGTAGAACTCAAGGTGTTCATTAGTTCGGGTGCAATATGGAGACAAACTCAGTATGTCTGCTTAGGACGGCCTTCAATTCTCTTTGTCTGTTTTTAGTTAAAAATGTAAAAGACTGTTGCCTCTTCTTCTTAAAAGAGAGATTTGGAAGTAAACATTATTTCTGAGATCATTTGTTTTTGTTTTTTGAGGTTCTCTCTGTTGTCCACATTTTCCTCATTGAGCGAGGAGTGCTGTGTGGGCAGCTTCTGGAGAGAAAGGCCGGCCCTTCAGGCTCAGGAGCCAACATTGTCACAGCAGCCCAATAGTGTTTCTGTCTCACTGGCTCTTACACTCCACACATCCTTGTGGTGAAATCTCTGTTCAGAGCCTGGAAACAGGATAAACAAGTGTAGTGTTAAATCATGATACTGTGTAATTGTTTATAATTGTCTCACAATCTCATCCAGATTTAGTGATGAACTGAGGATGAATGTAAACCAGCACACTCCAATGGCCTCTCCATATGGCCAGCCCCAGCCTGGCTACGGCCAGCCCGGCTACGCACCCCTGGATGGGGGATACCCTGCACCCTACGCACCCTACAACGGCCCTGCTTCAGCCTACCAGCCCGGGGCTCCACCACAAGGTAAACGTCTTCTTCTGAACAAGTTTGAGTGAGTGAGTTGAGTGTGATTGTTCATGTATGTATGAGAAGAACCCTGTGCCTATGCATACTAATCAAAATCTCGACTGCCCTCTCATTTGTTCAAGTTGCTTTAAGCGTTTCCCTACATCTCTCTGTATTTGCCTTCTATTCCTCTTGTATTGCAGGTTTTTCTCCTTTCACAAGCTTTCCCTCTAAGGCTGTGGCTGCCAACCCAGTCTCTGACCTCTCCTCTCCTCTTGACTTAGGTAACTGCCTCCTCTCTTTTTCTTGCTCATTTCACACTCCACATGCTCTGCATTCATCAAATCTTCTCCGTACCTACTGGCATTATTCTCACTTCCATGAAAAAGAAAAGAAAAAGATCTTTTGAGTCTGCATTAACACCAGTGACTGTTAAGCCTTGCAGCAAACCTGTTACTAACCTTTATATTACCAGACATTTGTATTACCTTGAAATGTGAATTATGCTTTTATTATGTAAGGTAGATTTATCACACATTGTGTTGTTATTTAAGAGTCATGTTTTCTGTGTGGACATCAATTTTTTATTAACAAAGATTCTCATACTGTCATGACTGCACAATTAAACCCTAAAAACACATTTGTCGACCGAAAAGTTTAGTAGCTATATTTTACTGACTTACCAGCAACATCTTAACATTGGCAGATGTCTGGTGTTTTCAACCTTGATCACAACATTGATCCCTTAACTGACCCCTTAGCACGAACTCTTTGCTACCCAGCTGCTTTCAGTATGCAGTCTGTGCTCCTAACCCCAGAGGCAAAATCAGGGAATGTAATCAATAAGTTCTACAAATGTGTTTAGGTGCGACAGTGGCATATAGTCATGTTTAGCTTGCGCTAATATTGTCATGTTAGAAAGATTGATATCGGAATGAATTCAGTTTTCGCAGGGATGATTATGCTTTTTGCAGGGATGTGTGTAATGTTTTGTCCCTGCTTTTCAGGACCTGCCAGGGGTCCTCCCGTCTCTGGAGCCCCTCCAGTCTCAGCACCTCAACCATATAATCAGTTTAGTCACAGTCAAGGGGACATGCAGAATGGACCCCCACCTGTGACACAGGCACCACCCAGGTAATTACATGTTGATTGTTATTATTGTGTATTTAGGCGTGGGCATTTATGAAACGCTGCTTTTTTTTAAAGCACAATGTAACTTTTAAATGTTTTGAATTCACTCTAGGATTATATTTTTATTGGTGCTTAAAAATGTATTTTCCTACTTGAGGTGTGTCCACTTTCCACTGGCAGGTTACAAGAATTCTGCATCTTTCAGCTCATTCAAGCAATTAACAGAATACATTTAAAAATGGCAAAAAACTGCACTGAAATTGTCTAAAACCTCATGACTTATTGCTCCGCCAAGAACACTGGAGCAAGCCAACCAAAGCATATCATTCAAAATCACACTCAATATGATGTGTTATAAGAGACAGATTATGAATTGTAATAGCACATGATACTAAGTTTTATTAAAAAGGAATTCACTTTTTCCACTAGGAGCACCAGCACAAAATTTAGGACACCACTTAATCAACATGCAACTCCCCAGGGCCCTAAGCAAAACTCTGCAGACGGGCCCTTCTACCTCACATTAACATAGATTTGAATTTGTAGAAGAAAATAAAGTATTACACTGAGCTTTGTCTCTGCTGCCTGGTAATTATTTCAGTCAATCTTTTTCATTTTAGATTCAATATTTTGTAAGGTCAATTCATTACTTTCTATCTTGCGTTAGTCCAGAGTTTTGACTAAACCTTGAATGAGAGACTAGATAATCATTGTCTTGTTATATTATTATAAAATGATGACGCCCATATACTGTCTAGACTGTTCTGCACAGAGGTTGCTGCTGGAAAGTTTGTACGATGTTATCTTTTCCGAGCTGCAGTTTATAAACACTGTTGGCGTTTATCAAGCCTAACAAATAGATTTTTGTGGATGTTTGAAATGTAAAAAATCACATAACACAGCCCTTAAAGCGGCTGACATGCAAGAAGGATGCAGACAGACCAAGAGATGTGCTGCCCAGCTAACGTTAGCAGGACAGGCTAGAGAGAGACGCACTGCAAGCTAGCACAACAACTAACGTTACTGTTACGTTACTATTGCTGACTTCAAACTAGGAGAGAACACAAGTTTTCCTGATTGATTTTCCCGGCCTCTTTTCATGACCAGAAGGATGATTCTGCTCCATCCTCTCATTGAAGTTGTAAACACTGACGTTGTAGTGAGAAGACAGACAGAGCGGAGTCTTCCCTTGCACTGTGAATGTGTTTTGAATTTTACAAATATTCAAATGTTCAGCTCTGAAAATGGTCTTTTCTTCAACGGCTAGAGGATGCAAAATAGGTTTGGGCCAATAGACTATGCCATAAGACTATGGCGATGGTTGACAGACGTCACTACACATTGAGCAGTCATCGTGATTGTAAAACCCCGCCCCCCGACAAAAAAATCTAAATCTTTCACATTATACCGCCATGTGAAAGCAGGTTTTAATCACCACAAACATTATTATTATAATATTTTAAATATGCTTCACACATTCCTCAGAATTCTCTTCTCCCCACACTCAGACACACACACACACAAGAGGCCTACACCTCAGGTAAACACACCGGCTTGCCCTGCCTCTCTCTGTCTCTCCCCTTCTACTCTACTTTCTCCATCAGCAGTGCATTTTATAAAGTCGCCTAAAACTCACAGAACTCGTCTTTTTCCCGTATTTTTCCACCCACGATCCGCTTGCGGGCTTGTTAATGCCCCAGCCTATCAAACAGCCGAAACCAACATCTGCACCCTGTGTGTTCAATGCTGCTTGGTCCGATACCTGGTCCGTACTTGTGAAATATCCATCACGACCACCCAAGCCAGAGGGAAGGAACAGAAACACCTGAAGGGGGCACTTACAGCCTGTGGATACCCCTAGCTTTCTATCATTGTTTGTGCCTAACTTTGATAACATTTTAATCCTTGGGGATTTTAACATTCATGTCTGTTGCCCTTCAAAGCCATTGGTTAGCCAGTTTCTGCAACGTGTGGACTCATTTAATCTCTCTCAGTGGGTTACTGGTCCTACACATGAACATGGACATACACTTGATCCCAATCTTGACCCCATGGATTTTAATAACTTTAGGCCCATTTCTAAATTATCTTTTATGTCCAAAATATTGGAGAAGGTCGTTCTTTCTCGACTCTCCTCTTTTTTAGCTGAAAACAATGTGCTCGATAACTTTCAGTCTGGCTTCAGGGTACATCACAGAAACTGCACTGCTAAATGATTTGTTGCTGTTTGGTGATACTGGAAATTGTGCTATTTTACTCTTGCTTGACCTCAGCGTGGCTTTTGAAACCGTTGATCATGATATCCTCCTGGATTGCTTCCAGCAAGGAGTTGGTATTAGTGTTTTCAATCTTACTTGAAAGACAGAACCTTTTCTGTTAACATTGGTAACATTTCCTCTTCTTTAGCAGCAATTAAATGCAGTGTACCTCCAAGGTTCAATCCTGGGGCCAATCTTACTTTCTTTGCATATGCTCCCCTTGGGCTCCATTCTCCGTAAACATAATGTATTATACCACTGCTATGCTGATGATACACAGCTGCACTTACCTCTGAAAGAAGAAATAATATTATTTGGTTCCCCTAACTTAATTGAGGAATTATCAAAAAATCTGGTCCCCCTGTCCATTAATGTAAAATCCTTTGCTATGAATTTAGGGGTTATCTTTGACTCAGCATTAAAATTCAACAAACATATAAACTCTGTTGTTAAAGGTAGCTTTTTTTCATTTAAGGACCATAGCTAAACTTAAACCTATTCTCTCTGTAAATGACCCAGAAACTGTCTTGCATGTTTTTATATCCTCCCGAATCAATTACTGCAATTCCTTGTACCCTGGCATCTGTCATTCATCTTTATCACGCTTGCAGCTTGTTCAAAATGCAGCTGCTAGATTGTCCCCAATATTGGCTGCTCTTCACTGGTTACCAGTCAAATATAGAGTCGATAAGGTGCTGTTAATCTCTATTCTTTGGCGTTTAGAGGCAGCAGTGCTCATGTTTTTATTGATCTCTTTTGTATTTAACTGTGTTGTTTCTCTCTTATTGCTGTATGCCATTAATTGTTTGGTCTGTTTTATTTATCTGGTTTTAATTTTTATGTCTTACTATGTCTACTGTATAACTTGTCCAGCACTTTGGTCAACTCTGGTTGTTTTTAAATGTGCTTTATAAATAAACTTGACTTGACTAAATGGACCTTTGTGGAAACGGCCATAAGATCCAGGAAGAACAAAACTACAGGGGATGAGGAAAAGAAGGTCAAACACAACAACATTGTGATTCCATATGTGTCTTGAGTATCAGAGAAACTCAGAGGATTTTCAACAAACACAACATCCCTGTGTTTTTTAAACTCACGAACACGCTAAGACAGATGCTGGTACACCCCAAAGACCGCACCCTCAAGCACAAGAGAAGCAATCTAGTGTATGCTATAGACTGCTGTGCTGTAGACCTGTATATTGGGGAGACTAAACAAGTGCTACACAAACGCATGGCTCAACACAGAAGGGCCAACTCCTCAGGTCAAGACTCTGCAGTTTACTTACATCTGAAGGACAGAGGACGCTCGTTTGAGGACCACCAGGTGCACATTTTAGACATTTTTTATTGTTTGAAAGGGGTGTCAAGGAAGCCGTCTACACCCGGGTTGAGAAGCCGTCGCTGAACAGAGGAGAGGTTCTACGCCACCACTTATCCCCCACTTACAATGCTGTCCTTTCATCACTTCCCAGGAGACTTAACAAACGTAACCTATTGGCCTCAGGTGAGGATGCCAACGATGGTCGTTCAGTCTTGGCCTCAGGTCCGACTACGGGTGTTTTTTGTCCAAAAGCTGGAGCTCTGCTCCCTGCTCCTCTCTCCCAAGTTTAGCAGCTCTTTGACAGCCACCAGATTTTCCATCTCCCACTCTGCCTGGCCCTCTCCATACAACGCTCTGAAGCCGTCGGTGACGTACGGACAATCTCAACGTTGATAGGCTATCGCGACTCAGCGTCATGCGAATTCCTTCGCATTGCCTTCGCTTCGCTTTTGCGTTGCCAGGCACCACCCCCTTTGCGTCACCCGACGTGAAATTGTGGCTCTACGCGGCTCTGCGTTGACTTTATATGTAAACTCACCGTCCAGAATGTTCGCTTCACATTTGGTCTGAAAGCACCATTTGTTTCCCTACCAGTCAGTCAGAACTCAAGAAGTGTTCAACCAAGTCCAGTTGCCCTTGACTTTAACCTTCTTTGGACTATATTTCAAACAGCTTTAAGATGCAAAAAACGAACAGGATGAATAATCACTGAAGCAATTGGCATATTGTATTACATTACCTTATCTAGCCAAGGTGTAACTAATTGTAACAACTCATGCTGCACAATTTGTTTGTAATTTTGATTTCACCCGTTAAGAGTTCTTATAGCACAAATATTGTATTCATTTCACAGGTGTAATTTACACTGGGGATACTGGGGACATGTCTCCATCACTTTTTGAAGCATTTGTTAAATATGTTCTGAAAAATGGCTTGAAACAAGAAATGGTAAAAAAAAAAGAATATACTTGAAAGGTTTATTTGCACAAAAAGAGAACATGCAATGCCTTTTTTAAATATAGAAGAAACGAATGTGCTTTGTCCTAAAAAAGTTTCTTAAGCTAAAAATAAGCTGCTGAGTACTGCATTATATTCTGTTTGAATTGTCATCTGTTTCACTTTATATAAATAAAGACAATTCTACCATAAATTGGTGCAGAAAATGTGTTTAGTGCTCAAATATTAATGTTTTATAATAAAATATTTTATTAAATTCATGTAACTTATTAATTTTCTCTGGCTTAAAATTCATACAGATTTTGAATTATACAGCAGTGAAGTTGATATTAAATTTCATCCTAGGTAGTATTAAAAATACTTAAGAATCCTGGGGTTACCCTGATTCATGTAAAAACAAAAAACAGTTACTCATATACATGGCTAACAAATCAGCGTGCTCCAGTAGAAATCTAGCCGGGGAATCCAGGTTTCTCTAATCCTAAACCCCAATTATGGAATTTGTGTTTACATGACATTTGAGAAATCAGCCTAATGTAGTAACCCAGTTACTTGAGTGCATGTAAACTCACTGAACGATTTGTCTGTTTCCAGGCCTGCTGTGTCTCAGCCATACAACCAGGGAGCTGTGAACCTGTCAGGGCCGCACCCCTCGTATCCCCAGCACTACGCCGCCCCATCCGCAATGCAGCAGGTCACTAACCAGATGACTGGGATGCAAATCTCCTCTGGACTGCCAACCCCTGCAGGGCCAGGATATGGTAAATTTGGATGGATTTATACTGGCGTGCAATTACTGGAATAATTATGTGATTGGTGATTTGATGTCTGATGTGTCTTCATTAATTTGTTCCTTTTGACAAATGTAGATGCATGTATCATAATCTTTTTCACCTGGAGATAATCACACAGCCTGTCACTCTCTCCTCAGCTCCACCTCACAGCTCCCAGCCTCCTGCCAGTACCGCCTACTCAGCCGCACCTCCGCCCTCTTACACTCAAGCCCCTCCCCTCGCATCCCAACCACCACCTCCCAGTGGTCCTGCAGCTTCTCAGCAGTACTATGGAGGCCCACTACCTCCTTCTCAACAGCAGTTCAACTCTTCTCTTCCCCCTACCTCCCAACAGCAGTTCACCTCTTCTGCACCGCCGCCTCCTTCCTCTCAGCAAACCTTTCCTCCCTCATCCTACTCAGGTCCTGCACCTCCACCCAGCCAAGCTCCTGCTCCTCCTGTGTCCCAGCCACAGCAACCTTTCCCTCCAAGCCAGCCCCCCTTCTCCTCAGCACCTCAACCTGTCAGCCAGCCTGCCTTTGTCTCTGGCCCACCGCCCCCTGCCCAGGGCTCCTTCCCGCCAAGAGCACCCCCTCCTTCCTCTCAACCTGGGTCTTTTCCTCCTCCAACCTCAGTTTCCTCGACCCAGTACCCAGGCCCCATGCCACCTCAACAGCAGCCCCCTCCATCCCAACCACCCCCCTATCACTCAGGTCCCCCTCCTCCTGGTGTTCAGATGCCACCCACTTCCATGGCCCAGAGCAACCACCTGCCTCCAGGACCACAAGGCCCACCAGGCCCTCCTGGGGCCCTGCAGCAGCCTCCATCTCAGCCTGGCATGCAGGGAGGATATCCTCCTCAGCAAAATGGTGAGGAGACGGCCACTCAGTGAAAGCTAGATCGATTCTGTTGTTTTCTCGTCACTAAGCTATTTTTTTTGTTCTCTTTAGGTGCATTTGGACAGGTGAGAGGCCCTCAGCCTGGCTATGCAGGCCCTTATCCCGGCCAACCAAACTATGGAGCCCCTGCACCAGCTCCGGCCCCTGCTCCCCAGAAAAGACTCGACCCAGATGCCATTCCTAGTCCGGTGAGCAAACACACACACACATAATTTTCTAAACCAATTTCCTAGTATACGATACAACACCCATGCTGACTGTTGCTCTGTTCCCTTGAATGAGTTGTATGTACACTCATTGTTCAGTTTATTAGGTACACCTGTACAATCTAATGTAATCCAATACAGCCGTTTTGCCATACAGTCTTTCTCTTGCATTAAGAGACACAACACCACTAATTGATATAGTTATACTGAAGTGCATTATATTCAGAGATGCTCATAATATTCTGTTGAATAGACTAGTTGTTGAATTGAATTGCATTAGATTGTACAGGTGTACCTAATAAAGTGGCCACTTAGTGTAAATGTTTTTGCATGTACTACTTAGGGCTGTGCAGTAATTCTGTATTACATCATCTTTACATTGAACTGGATTTTTTATGATATTATCATATTGTAGTATCAGTATAACCAGTTCTGTTATCTGAATGTATGATACCAAGCATTTAGCCTAAAGTCAGTTTTATATGTTTGTGAATATCATATCACAGTCACAGTTTTAGTTCAAGTTTGCAGTGGACTTTACTATGCAATATCTTACTCAGAGTTACTCTTGCTCTTAGTTACACCTATAATTGGATAATCTCTATTGTCTTAAGTTTTTCATGGCTTTTTATTTGTTATGTCTATTGCATGCATGTGTGTCAAACAGGCTACTGGTATATTAGTCTATATCTACTTTTGACTGTCATAGTCAACAATACTACTAATCTATACTGCTGATCAGTTTCTCTCTCAATAACAGCAATGCTGCCTGCTACTCAGCAAAGTCTTGCTGAGTTTTCTCTTCTCACACTCCTTTTTATATATTTACTCTTTGTATTTACTTATTTTGTCCTGTTTTGCACAATTTGCTGGACAAACTTTTGAATGTAAAGCAAGCCTCTGACATGCCGGCTGTGCAGAAATCAAGACATAGAATAGATCCAGACGCTATCCCCAGTCCAGTAAGTTTCCTGTGTGCCTGCCTTTTCCTCCGCTTCATCCTGTCCTCTCTGCCGGCTTGCACTAACCCACAGCTTAAACCTCCTCTTCTTTCCTTCTAACCCCTCAAAGTCACAATGCGAAAGATGGGCTCCTGTCGGACATAAGGAAAACTTAGACTTATGTCGTATGTTATGTTAAAATGTTAATGTCATGTCATCCCTGCTTATTACTGGGTTTCACCAGAATCTCTCCAAAACGTTGATGCTGTACATCACACGTTTTGGTGTCTGGTGTTATTCCAGCCGTAATGCCCAAATATCACCGTCAGTCCAAAATGAAAGTAGTTTGATTTTGGGGGAAAAATGCATATTTGCTTACTTGCTGAGAGTAATATTGATACCAATCTACTCATATTAATATTCACGTCTTGTTCTATGTACCGCGGAGTTCGCATAGAGCACTGTTCACAAACATTGGCCTGATATTAAACTATATTAAAACATGAAATGGAAGGGGAAAGCACCGCTTTTTTTTATTTAGTGATTTATTTCTACCCTGTGGCAAAGACTTTACCAGTGGTTACACTGCCAATCCAGCCATTCAGATGGCTCTTTTCTTCCTTTTTAGGCGGGTCTAAAATTGACAGGGGACTTGTGGGTTAAGTGATTTAATAGGACACAAAAGACGGAGGTGTTAATAATAGTATATTTCTACGGCTTTCACTATTCTTGATGCACGGCGTGGCTGTCTTGGATTTTGTGTTTGGTGTTGGTGGGGTTCTGCCGAGTTAGAAATGAGTTTGGGTAATAGACTATTTCTTGGCTGGGAACAGTAACTTCCTGATGTGTCCGCTGGTTTCCTGTCCACTGGTCTTGGGAATCAATTTTCTCATCTCTGCAAGAAAGCAAATAGGGGTATTTCCCAAAATGTTGACCTGTTCTTATAAGAATCACATTTGTGTCTTAAAGGCTGTGATGAGGTTTATTTGAAATAAAAGTAATTATTTTGGCCCTCCACTTATCATATGCACTTGATCCCATAACCCTGTGTTGGTTATCCCTACTGCCTGTCTCCCACCTCACTGTTTCTGTATTTTTGATCAGGACTCAGAGGCAGCCCATCTTAGTTTAGACAACTTGAGTGCTTGTCAGCCCGTAGGCTCAGACAGCTGCCCCCTCAAAGCCACCTCCTCTGCGTCCTGCATGCTAGCCTGCAATGTTTTGTCTTACCCACAATTCCTTGCATTAATGGCATGCCTTGATCAATCCTGTCGTTTTTTTCCAGGGGGTGTCGTTTAATTTGTTTTTTTAAGTTAAATCTACTTCTGCATGAATTTGTACCATCTGTCACCTTTAGTCATGGCTTGACTATGACATTTATCCACAGACGTTGGTTTTCAGTGTGTGTTCAGTAGCTCAAGATGTGTGCGTGTCAGGGTTGTGGGAAAGTCATCTCCTGCATGGGTGTTAAATGTTCCTCTTTTAGACTTTGTGACACCCAGGGACAATGTTTCATGTGCTCTTACATGTAGTTATGCTGTAAAATACATATGGAAGTTGTGACATTTATTGTGCCCCCTCTCTCTCTGTCTTAGATCCAGGTAATAGAGGATGACAGGGCTAAGAGCACTGAGCCATTCACCACAGGGGTCAGAGGTCAAGCCCCACCGCTTGTGACCACCAACTTCCAGGTCAAAGACCAAGGTAGGTTGTACTTCCTATGAACACAGTCATATCTGGCAGCCTGTCAGTTGTTGAGGAAGTGTTATTTATTCACTTTCCTGGTCCTTGGTTCACAAAATCAAACTTGCCTCCCTTCCACCACTAGTTACTACAGGTGTTACGGATCGTATTTTACCCAACGGTTCAGCACAAAGGTGAACCACAGATTCACTGCAAAGTTTAGCCATCATAGTGTGAAAAACAGTTTTACTACGACTGTTTCTTTTTAAAGTAATCATTCTGCAAATTGCAATGCAGAGTTGCAGTAAAAAGATAGAAAAGACAGACGCATGCTATGTTTAACTCTGAAGCTCAGTGATTGGGTAAGGGGAGAGTGACTGATTTAAAAGCTGTTGCTTTCGCATTCATTGAGTGAAATCCCATACGCTGTGACTTTTGGCATGTTTAGTGGTGTAACTGGGACACAGGGCTTGCTTGTCATCATAATAAACAATCAACATAAAATAAACATGAAATAAACATCACAATTGTATAATCAAATAGATTATACAATTGTGATGTTTATTTCAGCTTCAGTGATATCTGCTGCCTTCCCTTAAGTGATACACAGCTCCACACCAGAGAAGAACGAGGTGTTGATAGGCTAATACTCGGGATGAGTAACTAGTCAGTTGGTGCTGTGGGCGGGACATTGAACTATACTACAGAGTGGTGACTACAAAAAGAGAAATCCGACTACATGCCAGTCAAAGTAGCGTATTTTGAAATTATTTAACCCTAACTTTCCTTTTTTTTTTGATGATGATGATGATTCAAATCTCTAACTCAAAACCACGGAATGATTCAACCTGTGAGTTGTGTTTATCCGTTGCACCCCTACTAGTTACTAGTAAAACATAAAGCAAAACAATTGAAGAAAGTTCCATCTGAGAAGGATAGGATGTTGACCGTGTAGAGATTGGGATGGTGATGGAGAATCCATTTCTGTGTTTAGGGAATGCCAGTCCTAGGTTTGTCCGCTGCACGGCCTACAATATGCCTTGTACAGCTGATATGGCCAAGCAGTCTCAGGTGCCACTGGCCGCCGTCATCAAGCCCCTCGCTACACTGCCGCCAGATGAGGTGAGCGATTCCCTGTACTCTTACCACTTTCTGTCCATGTATTGTAAATGTTGTAAGCCCCACTTAGATCTGAACTGTAGCTATTATTGCATGACACATTATCCTCCCAGAAATAAACTGGGTCAATTTAAATACATCCAACAGGTCTCTCTCTCTCTCTCTCTCTCTCTCTCTCTCTCTCTCTCTCTCTCTCTCTCTCTCTCTCTCTCTCTCTCTCTCTCTCTCTCTCTCTCTCTCTCTCTCTCTCTCTCTCTCTCTCTCTCTCTCTCTCTCTCTCTCTCTCTCTCTCTCTCTCTCTGAGTTTAGATAGAGTTAATCTGACCCAACAACAAGGTTCCTTTGCTTCATCTGTATGTTCCACAGTGCAGCTCTATCTTCCTCTGAGATTTTCATAACAGTTGAACGATCTTAACCTGATTTTGAAAAAGATTAGTTTTCAGGGCAATGCCTGATATTTAGTTATTATAACAGGATGCCTGTAATGTCAGTGGGATAATCTGTCTCAAAATCTCAGAGGTGGGAGTGGCTGCATGACCTTGTTTCATGCACATGTGCAACCAATATCCATTTGGACTAGTTTTTCATTACGTAATTTTGGCAGGCAAAACAACTCTACATAAAAGAGGGTGTAAATATGAACTCATATGGGAGTGAAACACATTCCCTTCTGTTTAAATAATTGTGCCGATATTAAATAAAGTCACCCTCGTAGTTAAATTGTATGAATCAAATCTGTCAGCTGCAGATATTCAGATTATTGGATAAGCGTTCACTGACTCCTTTTTTTTTGTTGTTGTTGCAACTCTTTGTCAGACCCCTCCATACCTGGTGGACCATGGCGAGAGTGGTCCAATCCGCTGCAACCGTTGCAAGGCCTACATGTGTCCATACATGCAGTTCATAGAGGGAGGTCGCCGCTTCCAGTGTGGGTTTTGCAGCTGCGTCACAGAGGGTGAGTTTGTGTCTGTGTTTGTGTATTTAAATTTGTTTTCTAAACTGAACTCCCTGTGCTAATGTTATCCATTTGACCTGCTCTTTTCCCATAGTGCCTCCATATTACTTCCAGCATCTGGACCACACTGGTAAAAGGGTGGACTGCTATGACAGGCCGGAGCTTTCGCTGGGCAGCTATGAATTCATGGCCACTGTTGACTATTGTAAAGTAAGTCCTGGGTTAAAAAGGATTCCTTTCTGCCGGAAACACACCTTTTACATTATATTCGTTAGAAGGAGATGTAAATTTTATTTGAATCCTTTCAGAAAGAGATATAATCTATGATAGCATACAAAATATTGGTGTTGACTGTTGTACACTTGTTACACTGTTACACCAAGCTGGTGCTGAATTCAGCAAATCAGAAAAATGAAGGTCCAGTCTGTGTGGTTGATATGTTACCATTATTTACACAACGTCATATATATATATATAGCATTTGCTCCTCTTTAACAGAACAACAAGCTTCCTCAGCCTCCAGCCTTCATCTTCCTGATCGATGTGTCCTACAACGCTGTGAAGAGTGGCATGGTCAATATTGTCTGCCAGGAACTCAAGACCCTCCTGGACTATTTGCCCAGGTACTCAAACACATATATACACATGGGATGGACAGGAGGGCAGGGAAAGGAGCATGGACTGATGAAACGACAGATGGAATAGATTAAGAACATGCTAGTAAGGATAGGAGGAAATGAAGTATGCAGCAAGTAGGAATAAAGGAAGATAAAGCAAAGAATGAGAATATATAGTGTAGATTAAGAGAAAGGAAGGAAGCAAAATGGAAAGGAAAAAAAGAAAGGAGTGATTGAAAGAAGGAAAAACATTTCCTCTTTAAAGTGGATTTACTAAACACACTTCCTGCTCATGTCAGGAAATTTAAACTTGACCATTCTCCTGTTTCTGTTCCTCTGTGTTCAGGGAGAACCCAGAAATTGACTCAGTGGTGCGGGTGGGTTTTGTCACCTACAACAAGGTTTTGCACTTCTACAACGTCAAATCGAGTTTGGCCCAGCCCCAGATGTTGGTGGTGTCAGACGTATCGGACATGTTTGTACCCCTGCTCGATGGTTTCCTGGTCAACGTAAATGAGAGCCGGCTAGTTATCGAGAGGTGGGAAGACATAAACCAGACACACACACACACACATTAACAGATGCATGACATGTGTGTGAACAGACGGATTGATCTGGTTTAATGACACACTGTTTGTGATTTTCCAGTTTGCTGGACCAGATCCCAGACATGTTTGCAGACACCAGGGAGACAGAGACAGTCTTTGGACCCGTCATACAGGCGGGACTGGAGGCACTCAAGGTAACTGTGGTAGCAGAAAATACATTTTACCTATGTGCATTCTCAATCATATGTATCATTTACTTCGTGACCACTGTACCTACCAGTATTTCAGCTACAATGATAATCTCTGAAATTGTTTTGTCTCATGCCGACTCTGTTCCTGTGAGAACTTGAGTGTCAAGGCTGAGAACACGTCCCTCGTAGACAATTATCTCAGTGCAATAAAACCCTTAGTTATCCTTTCCTCTGGGCCAGAGGCTCCAAATTGCCCTTGGGTACTCTGTTTAATAAACATCACAAAGGCAACCAAATGTTTTAACTTCTTTATTTGTTCAATTCTCCACAAGGATATATACCATTGCCAACACAGTAACCATATAATTTGTTCAGGTTTCCTAAGTCTGGAAAGTCTTAATATATTTATTCAAAGGTGCTGTGTGGACTTTTCCTGTAAACAGAGTTTCTGTTTACATCCATTGTTACTCACCAAAATGCACTGTGTGTATCCTTGAGGTCTTACAAACTTGATGAACGCATTAGTCTTGTTCCTCAGTACCTTTGTTGCCAAATTGTTGCGTATTTTGGCACATTACCACCACCTGTGGATCATTCTGAAAATATTGGCAGGACTTTGTGTCATGTCAACCATGTGTACATGCATGTGCACAAGACGCATATAACCGCTGACCCCACGGAGTGGCTTTTTGTATAAACAGAAAAATAGTGCGGGTGTAATTTTTTATTTTATTTTTTTGCTCTATTGGAAAGCTGATGTTATGGAGGCAGACAGAAAAACATGGGAGACAGAGGGTATGACATGCAACAAAGGTCCACAGCCAGCAATGATTTTAGGAACTCTGGAAATACACCTTTCCGTTCATTTCATGTCCTGGAGCATAAAGTTCCCAGGACATTTTGGATTAAAAAGGGATAATGGTGTGAGATGTTTCTTGTTGTAAAAACGCCTGAAGTGACAAGTTTATATTTGAGATATCATTGTCATCTTTCAAGAACTGAACAGCAGCCCTCAAAGAATCGCATTGTGAAACTTAAAATGTGACTCAACAGGTTGACTCAAGTGGATCTTGACCCAGTGTTAATCCATCCGGATACATGACACGAAGTGTGTAGAGTGCCGCTGACATGTCTGATGATTTGTGTGTTGCTGTGTGTCGCTTTCAGGCTGCAGACTGTGCAGGGAAGCTGTTTGTGTTTCACACCTCTCTGCCCATCGCAGAGGCTCCTGGGAAACTAAAGAACAGAGAAGACAAGAAGCTGATTGGGACAGATAAGGAGAAGGTAAACACCAGTGCAGCAAGCTGTGCTTTATTTTCCACTCAACTCTAATGCTACAAAGTGATGAGTTTAGTAGTACATGTCATTGCCTTTGGGCAAGAAAGTTCCTTTTATTAGCACAAAGACTCCACACTGACTCTGCTTCCTCTCCTGTCATCCTCAGTCTCTGTTTCAGCCCCAGGTGGGTTTCTATAACACTCTGGCTAAGGAGTGTGTAGCCCAGGGCTGTTGTGTGGATCTCTTCCTATTCCCCAATCAGTATGTGGACGTTGCAACGTTAGGGGTGGTTCCTGTCTCCACTGGAGGTTCTGTCTACAAATACACCTACTTCCAGGTGACAACAACTCTCCTCCTCCTTCACTCTCATTCTGAAACTGCTGTAGGTTTTTTCTCACATGGATAATCATTAGGCAACCTGCTCGAGGAGATTTTCTTAGTGATTTAGGGTGTTTTATGATGTGCTGTAGCATCTCCCTTCATGCAAACATGTTACTTTTGTGTAACACAGGTTGTGTTTTCTTTATTCTAGGCTCAGGCAGACAGGGAGCGATTCCTGAACGACCTGAGGCGAGACGTACAGAAACTAGTAGGGTTTGATGCCGTCATGAGGGTGCGAACCAGCACAGGTGAGATATTCCCCCGCTAGAAAACAAAAAAGACAAGAGAGATATGTGATATCTGACTTTATGACTCCTCGTCTTCTGCCTTTGCCATCGCCCTCCCCTCAGGTATCCGAGCTACAGACTTCTTTGGCTCCTTCTTCATGAGCAACACTACAGATGTTGAGCTAGCAGGCCTTGACTGTGACAAGGCCATCACGGTCGAGTTCAAACACGATGACAAGCTAAGTGAGGATACGGGGGCACTCATGCAGGTGTGTGCAATTAAATCTTTTAAAGGAGAATCCTTCATAAGAAGGGAACAGATTTTATTTATAGTTTCCAAATCAGCAGTTTTAAGATCCGAGTGCTTCCAAGCACCAGTGATCAGGAGTCAGATTACTGCTGATTTTCATATCCTACAAAGTGCTGTAGTAGATTGCAGTCACCTAATCTGGCACCCCTGAAATTAAAAGTCAATAAATCTGGCATCAGATTTAGTTCGCATTAGACATTTATTATGACAACTAACAGGATGTAGACTAAAGCCCCAGTGATTTGGGATTAAGATTATTGTTTTAAAGCAGTACAATGCAACACTACTAACTTGTATTGTTCTATGTTTTAATGGTGCTGGAAGGCTTCATGCACAGCTAGATTTAGTAAATATGGTTATGTAAAAAATTAAAAACAAAATGTCAACTGTGCCAAAGCCAGTCAATTTGTAGGAAACACAAGTCTTGTTTGTTTCCCCGTAGTGTGCTGTGCTGTACACCAGCTGCAGCGGCCAAAGGCGACTCCGTGTCCACAACATGGCAGTCAACTGCTGCTCTCAGCTGGCTGACCTCTACCGCAACTGTGAGACCGACACAATCATCAACTTCTTCTCCAAATATGGTGAGGGCAGAATATCATCTTCATTGTTTTTCAGTGTCAGGTGATGGGGGCTAGAGATGAGCGTACAATACAGTACACATCCAGCATTGTACTCTAAAAGTCTAAATAAGGTGAGAGTGGGAAAGGAATGAATAACATTTTCTAGAAATACTATCAAGCAAACCCCAGCTGCTCCAGTAGATATCTGCAGCTGCTGTTGATAGCTTGTTGGTATGAATGTGTGCAGCTTTGTAAGTTTGAAGTAGGGCATCATTCACTCACCATCCACAGGATAAAGAAAGGTGAAAGATGGTAAACTGCAGAGAGTTTATCAAAAGCCAGTTGTACTGCATTTTCTTTCAGAGATCATGTTTTATTAAATCATACAATTGGCCACTTATTTCATTAATTCCTAGTAATTGTCACAGTTTATATGTATAAATGTTTGTTATTGTGTGTTGCAGCTTTCCGTGGCATCCTCAGCAACCCCACTAAGGCAGTGAGAGACACTCTGGTCAACCAGTGTGCACAGATTCTGGCCTGCTACAGAAAGAACTGTGCGAGCCCCTCATCAGCTGGTCAGGTACTGAAAACCTTTTAGCTTACTGTATAAATACCCAGCAGACGTCACCTCCATTGTCACTTCTAGTATTACCTAGTGTTAGACAAAGATCACTTGTAGTTCACATAGAGTAACATAATATTGTGTTCAGTGGCTAAAATGGAAACACATTGTATTAAACAGAAAAACAAACTAACAATGGGTGTGACCCCATTTCGCATTGCTTTAAAAGCTGTTTTATTGAAAAGGAAATAAATTTAGAGCACAATAAATACCAACGTATCTCAGATAAAGTTATGAACTGTTACCTTTGTATCATTAAGTATCACTTTAGGTTTTTATATCCCTAACGTTACGTGTGTGGTTGTGTGTTTTCCAGCTGATCCTGCCAGAGTGCATGAAGCTGCTACCGGTCTATCTGAACTGTGTGCTGAAGAGTGACGTTCTGCTGCCAGGAGCTGACGTCTCGTTGGACGATCGGGCTTACCTGAGGCAGCTGATCAGCTGCATGGATGTTGCGGAGAGCCACGTCTTCTTCTACCCCCGCCTGCTGCCACTGGTGAGACCACACACACAACAACCCAAATGTCTCCTGTTCTCACGTCACCTATTGGATGGTTAAGTAAAAAAAAAAAACTGATAAAACCTCAAACTTTGAGTCCATCTTACTGGCCCAGGACCAGTGTCCACTCACTGAACCCTGACAAACTTAAAATAGCATCACCTTTGTGACAGTGTGTGAGTTTAGGGGGAGGGAAGGGCTCAAAGTGCTGTTAGGAATATAGTAGTGCATTTCTGTGATCATCAAAGAGGCAAGGCTCATATTTGATACGTAGTTTGATACGTAGTTTTGTTAAAACTGCTTACTCAGTATGATAATAGCCTGTGTGTGAAAAGAAATCTGCATAACCATGCACTCATAGAACAAAGAACCTGACATTCTTTTTCATCATCCCTGTTTTTATCATTAGCTGTAAAGTGTTTGTATCCTCTCATGCAAAGTCTGCAACATTGTAGGCTTAATCAGATCTGTGTTTAAAACAGCACAGGGCGCTGCAGTGCACTCTGGAAAGTTATTTTGGTTATCATTTGTCACGATAACAAGGGAAACAGTAGAAGTACAGAGTTCACGTCACAAAGTAATCTGCTAGTATATAATTAACACTTGCATCTATTTTATTGGCCAATGCCTTGCCGTGTGATGTTGCGTTGTAGCAAGAGTTGAGCCAGGTTCAATTTGTTTTGCTGGAACCCCCTGCATTTGCACCCCCACTGCACCGACAGACTGGCTCCATTCAAATGAATGAGGGTGCTGCCTTTTTCATGCTGTCTGTCTGAATACAGCCGTACACTGGACCTGGGCTTTTGTCTTTACAATTCAGTTTGAACCCCTACAATAGTGATGTTTAAAGCTAAAACCTGCAGGCTTTGCACACTCTAGTGTTCAAACTCTGACAAAGAGAAAAGACGCAAACATTTACCCTTTTATGCATTGTTATTAATTCTAGATTTGAAGTTTCAGTTTTTTTGAGCTACAGTGAGACGATGTTGGTACATGATGCCTTTCATGGATCTGTGCTTGTGTCTAACTTCTCACATGGATGTCAAGTGTGGTGTTTTATTTAAACAGCTTCGGTGACTCATATTTGCCAATTGTACCAGTGTACACAGGAGAGAAGTCTCTGTTCATAAATTAAAATTCATAAAAAATTTTGTTTTTTGACTAAATGCACTGTATGATCAGTAGATGGCAACACTAACATCGTCGTCTAATATTGTTTCTTCTCTTTGACTTTCCAGACAAAGTTGGAAAGCGGGTCGTTGCCAGTAGCGGTGAGGGACTCAGAGGAGAGGCTGTCTAAAGGCGGAGTTTACCTTCTGGAGACGGGACTCCACCTCTTCCTGTGGGTGGGAGCCAGCGCTCAGCAGGAGCTGCTGCTCAACTTCTTTGGCACACCGAGCTTCAGCCAGATAGACCCGGCCATGGTGAGAGAAAACGGATCTGCTTCCATGTTTTTCCTGTTGATTTTAGCTGTCTGACCCACTGCCTGCAGCTTAAGCCTAGTTTTTGTTCATTAGGGATCGCCATCCAAATTTAACAAGTTGCACAATAAACCGTGCTTTAATCAGCAGGATGTTTCCTGCTGTCCTGCCTTCATCAGCGTGGTATATGAGGTTGTTTCCAGTTTCTCTCTGTGCACTCACTTCCATCTTTTTAAACAAATGTTTTTACAAAATATAATATTAATTTTATTTATTTATTTTATATGTTAACCTATTGTTGGGTAAACATGGTTAAATGTCCAATTTAATTTAAACAAAGATATTAAATTCGATTCCTCTCCACACTTTATACCAAGGAGTAAGAAGGCAACAGCTTATTTTTTTAAACCAACTAATAGTTGTCAGCGACATGCAGTCAAACATTTTAGAAACTATATCCCTGCATATAAAACCCTTGTTTCCATATACAGTTAATGTACATAAACTGGAATATTCATCAGCGTTTCAGATGAATGAGTTAATTCATGTAGTTGCTTGACCTGTACTGTCTTATTAGTTTTGTATTATAAGTGCCATGTTTTTACAATTAATCTTAATTTGGTGCAGGCGACAAATTACTAACATTGTTTGAATTGTGTTATGACAACGTGATACTTTTACTAAATTCTGTCAGATTTAAGATTATGAATCGATTAACAAATGTCTAAAAATCGATTAACAAATGTCTAAAAATCGATTATTATAAGTTAATTATAACATAATGTCGACGGAACGCAAAAGGCGGAACTCACGAAAGTGCCGCGACCGGACCGTCGGACCGTCTGCGGAGCGCACACAACAGAGAGACCGGTGTGCACCTGTATTTGACACACCTACAGAGTGAATAACCACACTACTAAAATGTCACGCAATCATTAATATCAATGCGCAAGTGATGATTTTAACGCACACACTGCGAGCATGGAGACACTCGACGCTCGGCAGCTCTTTGTGTATCTTATGTGTGAGTCCGAGCGAATGAGAGAGAGAGCGAGTGGCAGAACGAGACGGTGAAAGTTAGCGGAGGAATACATTAGCAATAAGTTTTAGTCAGGTAGTAAACGTGCAGCGTAGGTCGCAGTGTGACCGTTAATACAAGTCTGTAGTTTCCCCAACGGCTGGAAAAGTGAAGGCTGTCAGCGCTAGCTAACATCTCCCCTGGACAAGAGCCTGCTGTCTGTCCCCCAGACTCCGGAGTTTGGGGACAGAGCCTTCTGCGTCACAGCCCCCACCCTCTGGACCTCATCCTCACAGAAATGCTCCCTGTCTGGACACTTTCACAAATCTACTAAAAACCCAGCTCTTTACCAAGGCATTCACTCCTGAATGACTTTTTGTTGTTTTGTAACGATGTGTAAAGCGTCATTGGGTCCCGTGAAGTGCGCTAAAATATTTATTTATTTATGTAACGTTAAGCTAAATTTGTAACTAAGTAATATTAATTATCAGCTGTATGTCATTACTAACTAACCTACTAGTCAAGGGTTGAGAACATCAGGTACAAGCTTAGACTAAACTGGTGTACAGCTCTGTCCTGTGTACACATACTGTAGGCTATATCCTAATAATTAACTTTATATGTCTGATGTTAAAGAAATGAGGGACCATGGAGCTGAGGTTAATAAAGTAAATTAGGGATGCAAACAAGTCCTTTTAAGCTAATTAGGAGATGTTTCTTTTTGATTTTAATGTACAAATTAAATGCTTAGTAATTATCCAGGGATCCTGTATAGAAAAAGTGATGCATTAAGATGAATCAATAATCGTTTTATAATCGAATTGCAGCCCTCTGAATCGTAATCGAATCGTGAGGTGCCCAGAGATTCCCACCCCTACCAAATGTATTATTCAGGAAAGAAAAAAGTAGTTTTTGTGTGTGAAGAGTCTTTTTTTGTGATGTAAGGCATAACAGTGGAATACATTTTATTGCAGTAAACATATATTTTTATTGTTGCATACAATTCCTGGATTGTGGTTCCCAGTATATTTTGTTTTAGAGAAATATTTGAATTGTTGTTGCCTAATGGATTAGACTAGCCCTGTGTTAGTGTAACTGTCAAAGTTGTATATAATTTCTGAATGTCATGGCTCTGGGTTTCAGACAAGTCTGCCAGTGCTGGACAACCCCTTCTCTCAGAGACTCAGAGAGATCATTGACTCCTTCAGAGCACAGCGATCACGATACATGAAGGTAACCTTTCTCTTTTTCTTTCCTTTTTCCTATTACCCTTTCTAATGTCTTTAAGCTAAAAACAAATTGTACCCCTTTTTTTGTTTTTCTGCTCTGTCAAGTTGCCGGGTATTTTTTAAAAATGTTTTCAATATCCATGCCAGTATGGTAATACTGAGTGTCAATATTGATACCTTGCTTTGGAGAATATAGACATGCTTTTTACAAATCCCTTTTTTCTATTTTACAAAAGATGCTTAACTTTTAAATACATCAGTGTCAAAACAAGACACACAAACAGGCATTTTATCGAAGTAAAATTGTATAAACTTTTAACAAGGTAAAAATATATATTGGGAAATAACTTATCTAAAAATAGTATAATGCCTGAATTTTGATGCCTAAGGTCGATCTGAAACAACTCAATAGAATTAATTGGCAACTATTTTTGATAATTGATTAATCGTTTAAGTCATTTTTCAAGCAAAATTGCCAAACTTTCGCTGGTGTCCGCTTCCCAAATGTGAAGAATTGCTAGTTTTCTCTTTTTTTTTTTATATCATTTCTAGTAGATGTAGACTGTTAGTCAGAGAAAATAAGGAATTCGTAGAAGTAACCTTGAAGTGAAATTGTGATAATTTTTTTGGTTTGTTTTTTACTGACTATTTCTAGACAAAAAAATAAATTTATTGAGAAAATCAATTTTGAAAATAATAGTTAGATGCAGCCCTACAGTTTTTGAAAGTGGATTGTACAGACACATTTGGACATTATTAAGGCCCTACTCCTGCTTGCTCTCTCTTTCTCACACTTGTCTATCCTCATGTTTGCAGCTGATGGTAGTGAAACAGGAAGACCGAACCGAGCTGATATTCAGGCACTTCTTGGTCGAGGACAAGAGCGCCAGCGGGGGAGCGTCATATGTGGATTTCTTGTGTCACATGCACAAGGAGATCCGCCAGCTTCTCAGCTAGGCTTACAAATTCCCACCTTCACCTGTATGATCCCATCCCCGGTTCACCCTTCCTTTTGAAAGAAAGCGCTTTATCTTTTTTTTTCTTTTTTAAAACCTAATAAACTAAAGCTCTCCTTGCTGTCTGTCAGCCGAACATCACAGACCAGCTGGCAGATCTCGGTGTGTGTGTGTGTGTGTGTGTGTGTGTGTGTGAGAGAGAGAGAGGGTGAGAGAGAATCTGATGTTAACAGAGCACAGCAGGAGTGAAATAACTGACTAGGGAGGGGTGTGTGTGCGCGTGTGCACAATTGAACAATTATGTATGCAACAAACCGAGTGAGTGACGGAGGCGGCTGATGTTGACTGTAGTCTGTGTATTGTCTGTATTACTAGCACTGAAAGGCTGCTTTGGGTGCATAAACGACCCAAGCAAACACTTTTTATATGATTAAATCCCAATAGAGTGAAGGACATCTACATACCAAGACATACATGAAATTAAATAAATGCTGTTCTTTCTGTCTCTTCTCTCCTTTAATCATGGCCTTAGTACCCCCTCCCCGTGTGTGTGTGTGTGTGTGTGTGTGTGTGTGTGTGTGTGTGTGTCCAGATGTGAGAGGATTAGTCGCCCACTGTCTAACCATTATTTTCTAGGGTAGGCATCTGAATTTAAGCTCAGTTTAACAGCCCCAATTGGAGTCTGATGATCTTTTACCTACAAAAAGCATTAAAGAAAGTATCTTGAAATGTGAAGTCTGGTTTTAGTGTCCAAAGGTAAACTGCAAATCAAGGTGCACATGGCTGCTGTGACTGGTAACCAGTCATTACAGTAATCGCTATAATCCAGATTTGTTTAAATCCGCTTCAGTTGTTTTTACCATATTTACTGCGAACATCTGGCTCAGATGTTTGGTCACTGATGAACCAGATGTGCATGTGAAATTGTTGTCACGATTCTGTTACGAGAGGAAGCTTTCATTAGTTCAAAGTCTATGCAGCAAAGAGGACGGCCAGACACAAAATAAAAGACGAAAGAAATCAAAGACGGGTGTGAACTTTTGATCTCAGCATCACAACGATGGGAAATGCTCCTCATGGTTGTTTTCTGTGGATGACATGTAGTGCAGCAGACTTTATATTAATCAAACATTTTGATGTCCGAAGTTGTACAAAAGCATTTTCCAGCAGACAGAAATGAGCACAGAATGACGGCGTATAAATGGACATCAGTTTATGTTTGCAGATTTTGAGTTGCCTCTGCATTGGCAATGTTCCGTGTGTAAATAAAATATATAATCTGTACAGAATTAATAGAAAATAACAATTTTAAAGACCTGGCTGAATGGCTGTGGTTTGTTGGTGGTTGGTCTCTATCACAAAAAGCCCAAATACAAAATCATGGCTTTTACTGAGGAGAGGAAGATGCCTCGTCTGGCTTTTTGGTGTGTGTGTGTGTGTGTGTGTGTGTGTGTGTGTGTGAGAGACAGAGAGAGACAGAGAGAGACAGAGAGAGTGTGTGGTGTCGGTCCTGGTGAATTTCTCCTAAGGAACAGAGGGATTAGCCAACACATGCACACGCGCGCGCACACACACTACCCATGATCTAAAATTCAGACTTCTTCATTTATTACTTTCTGTTCCTCTTTTAACAATGTGACTTTTGTGTTGTGTGTGTGTGTGTGTGTGTGTGTGTCTGTAGCCCTCTGTTCTGTCTTTATGTTCCCTGGCTTTGATTGGCCCACCGTCTTGACTGTAATCTTAATTTCTGTTCCAATTTTCTTTGATTTGTTGTTGTTGTTTTTTTTTTCATTGCCTCTTGGGACTGCTAATAAAATGATTGTTTAAAGTTAAACTCCACATTGTGCTTCTCTGGTGGGTTTTGTGTCCTCACTGTTGGTAAAGCTTTATTGCGAATTATATTTTTATATTTTTTAAATTTCATCAAAATATGTTAAATTTTTATTGCTGTGAAAGTGATGTCTAGACCACTGTATAGACAGTTTTTACAAAAAACTTTCCAAATTACACAACATTTTTTCACTTCCTCTTGCAGATAGATTTGGTTCACACATACAAAGGAAGTGATTTACTCTGCATTCCTGCTAACAGTGTGTTCTGTGGATTGTTCAGACTAACAGCAACACTTTCTAGAGAGATGGTGCTGTATTACCTTAATGTATTTTTTCAATGTCCACCAGAGAGCACTGACAAGTTTATTAACTTTTTTTTAACTGTCAAATGTCCAACTCAATACATATCTTGGTCTCCAGCCTTGCTAGCAGCTCAGTGTTTTGAGCTTGTGCTAACGTCAGCGCCCTAATATGCTTACAGTGACAATGCTAACATGCTGATGTTTAGCAGGTGCGTTGTTTACCATCTTAGTTTAGTGTGTTAGCATGCTAGAATGTGCCAATTAGCACTAAACACAGAAGGTGTGCTTGATCAGAATCAGGTTTATTGCTATGTAGGTTTTCTCATACAAGAAATTTGCCTTTGGTTGTTTTGGCGCATAACCCTCACAATAAACATAAAACAAAGAAAAAAGAAAAAATTACTGCAAAAGTCATTAATATAAAATAGAAATTTGCAACAAAAAAAGAGTAAGATATATGTTTTCAAATAAACAGCTAAATGATGGAAATGTCATTTGTTTTGCAGGTATGTGGTCATAAACCACCACAAAGTAATGGACAAATAAAAATTTTGGCCTGTGAGGGAACATAAATGTCTGTACTAAATTTCATGGCAATCCATCCAGTAGTTGTTGAGACACTTTAAGGCTCAAGAGCAGGACAAAAGAAGGTGCTACATTATGTGGACAGGTGATACAAAGCTGGTCACTATGTCCAGGTCATATTTAGCACAAGTACACTGTGGAGTCCACCCAGCCAAGCCAAAACCCTGGGTAGACAGGCTCAGTGAAGGTGGTGTGGAAGGTGTGGAGGAGGGTCAGTGCATTACAGGTAATCCTGAAGAACGACAGTGCCCCTGCTGACCAGTCCAGATAGACCCCTACTTTATTGGAGCTGGGTGGGATGGATACAGCAGTGTACATGTCTTTGTGCCAGGTTTTGTAGCCATCTTTGGTGCAGCTTAGTCCCCAGGAAGACTCATTTTTGCCTAACCAGCTGTTGTGGCCTTCTCCCTTCCTGCACATCCTTCTGTAGGCTACTCCTATGAAAGATCTCCCACTCCATTCTGTCTCCCAGTAGAAGCGTCCAGTTAGTCCCTCTGTGCACAACACCTGTGTCCAGAAATCAAACCTGTCTGGGTGATCAGGATATGGCTGCCTGGTCCAACGCGTGGCTTTCCTGTTTCCCTCTGACAGAGAAAGGTCTCTGTGTGCTGTGTTTGGGTCCAGGGTGAGTTTCTTGGTATCTGATGAGACAGATCAAGAATGTCAGTAAGTGTTATACCTTAGTCACTGCTGTTTTATGAGTTTAGAAAGTCTGGTTACTCACATTTCTTTGGACCTGGCTGAATCCTGGATTCACCACACTGTTCCACACTAAAACATAACCGAAGACAACAGTTTTATGACACTTGTATAATTAATATTGTATGCAGCAGAGATGTGTTCCTTGTCAAAACCTGGCGCCTACATTTCCCATAATGCAACTCAACTGCCAACAGGTTGGTTGGACATTCAGGTGTGTTATTAGCAGCTAATGTAGCCTCAAGGCACCAGCCTCAAGCAGATATGAGCAGCGGGCTACAGAGGTGTGGTAAGCTCACTTCTTTCTAACTCCACACCCCTAGATTTTTCTCATTTTCAAGCTTGTACTCTTCAGCCCCAACAGAATTTATAAGACTTGCAGCTGCGCACACACAAAGCTTCATACAACTTTTTTCACATACGCAGTAGTAACTCCCTAAGACCTGTAAACAGACTTTGATGTGAGTTCCCCTTTAATAATGCAGAAATGTTCGAGTTGCATAAGAAATAAATCATTTTGGAGATATGGCTTAAGCCTGACCGGTAGGCTACTGGATTTAGAGGTTGATAATGATGCTGATTTTTTAAAGTTAAAAAAGTTTGATAACAATACATAAGTTAAACTCATAAAATGAACACTTTTGATTAGGATCCTATTAGATTGATATTAAAGAACCATGATAAAGATACTGCATGCACTGAGATGGAAATTTTACAGGTGAAAAATAAACTTGTGCTCTGTGGTGGACAAACAACAGCATGTAATTACCTTAAATATATCTTTGGTATTTCTATACTACATATTGGCCGGTACCTATATGTCTGTGATAAGCTAATTTCGGCCAGCTGATCTATCATTCGAGCCAGAGCTTTCGGGCTCTAGTTGGCACCACCCTTACCTGAGTTTCTGCAGGCTGCACTGTGGGTCGTCAAGCAGAGCAGACAGCAGCTCCAGGCCTGAGTTTCCTGGGTGATTGTAGCTCAAGTCGAGCTCTCTCAGAATGGATGAGTTCAAAGCTGATGCCAGGAAAGTGCAGCCTTCCTCTGTCACCCTGCATAGGGACAAACTTCAAAACAGAAACCAAGATATTTAATCCAACTGATCTCCATGACAAAGACAGCAACAACAAAATTTGCATGTTTGGCTCTGTACTGTATGCCGCTGTTAAATAATTCATCTGGCATGGAATTTCACTCAAGGCACTGACATGAGTGTTTCCAGTTTACAGTGAGCGCTCCCCAGTCCACTAGAGAGCTTTTTGACTCCTATGTTCTGAAGGTCGTTGTCAGAGAGGTCCAGTACTTTCAGCTGGCAGGAGGTTGAGCTGATAACTGAGGAGAGTGCTTTAGAGCTGTGCTCTGTCAGGTTGCAGCTCCTCAGTCTAAACAAACAGAAAATAAAGAAAATGAGAAAACCACTTGCTTTGAACTCGGAAATTGAAACATCTTTGTTGGACTTTTTAAAAAAAGGAAAGAAACGTGTTGAGTTTTGACCTGAGTGTCTCCAGTTTGCAGTTCTTCAGTCCGTCAGAGAGCAGTATTAATCCTGCATCTGTCAAGTTGTTGTTACCCAGGTCCAGCTCTCTAAGTTGTGATGAGCTGATGCCCTTCGCCAGGCTTTCACAGCAGGTCACAGTGAGATTACATCCATTTAGACTGCAGCAGGAAATGCAATATAAGAAAGGTAAAGCATGTGATAAAGAAATGCCCACTTCTGCTCCACTATCTCCTGAGGGAAATATCATGCTCTTTAGCTGCTAAATGCTCCAATATGTTCGACAGCAAGTCAATACTGAGGGTTTGTTACTACAAGCGACGCCTTTCACATTACATATGAATTTCCATTGTTAATATAAAGATATTGATTATTTTGAAGTTGAATATTGGAATCTTTTTTCACTGCCAAATCATTTTGCCTGCGCTGCCAACTATTGTTGACTCCATGCTCTTTTTTTTTTCCTACACCCTGCAAGTGAGTGTAGAGGGACCAGGACTTGTCTATCTAGTGTATGGTGTCACTTTTTAAAGTTTTTTAGATAACTTGTTCATCATACCAAAAATAATCTGAGCACTGAAGCTGACTATCTTTAACATCAGGGGCAAAAGAAAAGCTTTAGCGCTTGCTGTCTACTTTTAGAAAGCACTTACTTTGCCACTTGAGCGGTTTTCACGACAGGCAGCAGCATCAGAAGACCTTCCTCTGACCTGGTGTAGTTGCTCAGTTCAAACACACTCAGCTCTTCTTCTGATGTCAATAATACAAAGACCAGAGTGGCCCACTGGGCAGGTGAAAGTTTGGTTCTGTTAAGACTGCCTGATCTGAGGTAGCTCTGAATCTCCTCCACAAGAGAGTGGTCATTGAGCTCATTCAGACAATGAAAGAGATTGAGGCATGTGTCTGGGGATGGACTTTCCCTGATCCTCTCCTTTATGTGTTTAATGATCTCTGTTCTTGTTCTTTGGTTTGTCCTGTTGCTGGTCATTAGATGTTTCAATAGAGTCTGATTGGATTCCAGGGACAGGCCCAAAAGAAAGCGCAGGAAGATGTCAAAATGTCCGTTTTCACACCGCAAAGCCTTTTCTACTGCTTCTTTGTAGAGGATGAGCTCTGACGAATCTCTAAACAGGAAACGTCTTGAAGCGGACGACTTCTTGATCAAGACGTTAAAGTTGTCGTTGTTGAACGTGAGGTAGACATACAGCGCCGCAAAGAATTCCTGGACGCTCAGATGAACAAAGCAGAACATCTTCTCCTCACACAGTGTCAGCTCCTCATTGAAGATCTGTGTGTAGACTCCTGAGAACACGGTCGCCTGCGTGACCTTTATACCATTCAGGATAAGGTCGCTCTCATAGAAGATCAAGTGGCCTTTCTCGAGCTCTTTGAAGGCCAGTTTACCCAGTGACATGAGGTTAGCTCTCACGCATTCAGTGTTTGACTCTCTTCTTCCCAGCAGCCTCTTCTTCGTGGTCTCCACATGCAAGGACAAGAAGTGTATGTACATTTGAGTGAGAGTCTTTGGCGTGTCTTTACTGTCTGCCGTCACCAACTTCTTCTCAAGAACACTCGCTGCCATCCAGCAGAAGACTGGTATATGGCACATGATGTGAAGACTCCTGCAAGCTTTCACATGTGTGATTACCCTGTTTGCTATGCTCTCATCACTAATTTTCCTCCTAAAGTACTCGTCTTTCTGGGGGTTGTTGAAGCCTCGTACCTCTGTCACTAGATCAATGTACTCCAGAGGGATCTGACTGGAAGCTACCGGACGAGATGTTATCCAAATAAGTGCCAACGGAAGCAGTCTTCCCCTGATGAGGTTCGTCAGAAGCAAAGCAATTGTGGCTGGCTGTGTCACATCAGATATTATTTCACTTTTGTTGAAGTCCATAGACAGGCGGCTCTCATCAAGACCATCCAGGATGAAGACCATTTTGCTTTTACCATAAGTAAAGATTCCTGTGTCTTTCGTTTCAGGGAAAAAGACACCAAGAAGCTCCACAAGACTGAAGGTTTTCTTTCTCATCAGATTCAGCTCTCGGAAGGAGAGAGGAAAGACAAATTCGAGGTTGGTGTTTTCTCTCTCCTCAGCCCAGTCTAGAGTGAATTTATTGACGGACACGGTTTTTCCAATGCCAGCCACTCCCCTTGTGATCACAGTTCTTACGTCTCGTAGATGAGCAAAGAGGTGATTGCAGTGGATTGATTTCTCCTTTGCCACATGTATCCTGGATGCCGCCTCAATTTGTCTCACCTCATGCTCCTTATTGACTTCACCACTTCCTCCCTCAGTGATGTAGAGCTCTGTGTAGATCTTATTGAGAGGTATCTTGTTTGCATCTGTCGTCATCCCCTCAAGCAAGTGACTGAACTTCTTCCTCAGAGTAGCTTTCAGTTTCTGTTGACATTCTGCGATCTTATCATCTGAAGGAGAAAATTAATTCAAAGGTTTTTTGTTATTATTATTTTTAAGAATCATGGTGTTCTTTCAATATGTCAAATTCCAAAATTAGATAATGTAGTGAGTAGTAAGAAGCACTCACTTTGGGGCTGCAGAGCACCACAGTTGTCTGCAGTGTCATTGTTCAATTCTTCTTCTGAAGAAACAATATTCCATGCAAAAGAAGAAAAAGATCAGCAGAGCCCAAACCCCCAGTTTCAGTTCTTCCCACATGTTATATACCTACCTTTGCCATTTGAGATGATATTGATGTTTATGTTGCCGATGTTAGAACCAATAATGGAGGGAGCGATCACAGTGCCTCCACTCTGAGCGGTGTAGCAGGGATGGAAATGATGAACCTCAGCCTCAATAGAGGGGACTGACTCAGAGAGAAATCAAACTCATTTTCAGCAGTTTATTACAAACATACAGTTACATTGGAGCAAAGTGATTACTGAAGCCAGATTTTAAGTCATGTCTGGTGTTTTTAAGGTTATCAATTTGTTAATAGTTTTTCAGTCAAATTTTATATTTCTTTTGAAACTGAACTTTTCCTTTGCACCCTTTTTCTTGTCTTGACTGGGTCTAATTTTTTGCCACAGAAGCTTTATATTTTGACATCCTTACCTTGAGAGACCATGTCTGTTTTATCAGCAACACTCGTTTTCTCCATGTTTTTCTCATGAGCTCCCTCGTAGCCGAAGCCTACATGATATCTGTTAATTGATACTCCTCAGCAATATTCTTTATCTGGATCTTGGAAATGTGACAACGTTCCTGTACGGTTCCTGTCATTTACCTCCAGCAGATCAAATAACTGGTCATGTAAACTACATACAAAAACTAACCACATTTTTGCAGATATAGAATGACTGGGTTCAGTCACAGCTAACATTAAAATCTTGCAGATTACTCTATGAAGGAAATGATCACCTTCAGTAACAACCGTGATATCCTCTGATTCAAACACTGACACTGGCTGCTCGTAAGTACAGCGGTTTTGCACGGAAATGACAAACTGTGACTTGCTTCCTTCCTGGGTGAAGAAAACAGGAAGCACAGCTCATAAAACAGTTTCATTTACAACAAAATTAACTTTAGTTTCGAATTATTATATAATATTATACAACAACAAAGACAATCGCTTGAGAATTTTAAATCATTTGACATCTGCAAATCCAAAAAGGTCTCAAAAAAGACAGAAATGTTCAAATAAATGATATCATTTAAAATATTTACTTCAGTTCATTCGGAAATAGGACTAAGAGTGTACATGTACAGCACGTCAAAGAGTTATTGGTCACTATAATCATTATGGTGAAAGTTGTTTTAAGACAGAAATAGTTTCAATCCTTTAATAACTTTACTGAAGGCAAATGCTCAGAAACACAAGAAAAGAGGATGAATAATATGCACCTTTCCATTTCAGTCCTAAAGGTCTGCAAGTAAAACAAGAAATGCATTAGAAGTCTTCAGATTTACATGAATTAGACCTTTCCTGAATTTTAAAACTACCTGTATAAACGAATTGTAAGCACATAAGCCTACCATGTTTTTTACACTGTCAGAAAGTGAGAATGTGTTTCTGCTCATCTCTGCAAGCGACTGCATCATACAAATCTTCTGAGTCTCTTCATCTTCTAAAGCCGCTATTCTGGTTGCCTCTTCTCTGTATGAAGAGATGAAGATCTTCAAAGTTGTCCTTAATCTTCTTCTCTTTTCTATCTTTCTGCTTTTCCTTGATGTTCTTGGAGTCTGAAATAAAAATTTCACTTAGGAAATTAGGAAATTTTAAGAGTGAAAGTTTAAACCCTCCACAATCGTAGTTAGTACAAAAAAAACTAGATGAGATTTTAGATTGGTTATATACAGTATTTTCTTTCTTAGTTTAAATCCAGGTGGCCGGTGTCCTATACTTCTGTACTATATAGCTGAATATAAATGTTTATCCCCCGTTTACTGGTTTTACATTTAGCATTAGTTTCAAGCATGTGCCAGTCCTGCCAATTGGTTATGAAAAGCTGATACAATATAAATACAATACTGTGTGATTAAAGATAATGATTTAAATTAATACTGGCGACCTGTCCAGAGTGTACCCTGCCTTTCACCCGATGCCAGCTGGGATTGGCTCCAACCCCCTGCAACCCTGTACGCAGGATAAGCGGTTGACGGATGGATGGATGGATGGATTTAAATTAATATTCATATTAAAATTTATATTTTAGAATCAGTAACAGAAGTCTACAGTCATTAATAAATGAATGCAGAATTACAGTAACTTGGATGCTAATTGGTACAATCCAACCTGTGCTCCAGAATACTCAAAACAGTGGCTTTAAGGACAGTTTAAATTGGGTAATATTGTGAAATATTTTACATGTAATGTAGTTAAACACAGTCAATTCAAAGACCAATGTGACCTTACCTGATATGAGTCATTTCTGTGACCTCCTGATGGATCAACTTGACTTCTGTCTCTGTAGCTTTCATTATAGGTTCAGTGTCATGTATAATGCCGTAAGGGCATCCCTTTGTGTTGAAAAGTGGTGGGAACATAAGTGCTCAGATTAGGGGTGTGGTGATACACTTGGGTCACGAGACGTGACAATGCACAAGAACAAGACGAGAAGATTTTTATCACTAGAACAAGACGAGAAGATTTTTATCACTATTTTAAAGACATATGACATGCTGAAATACATGAATGTGTCCTCCCCCAAAATATAATGCAGTAATCAGCAGCTTGTTTATGTAACATACAAAAAACATGAAACAGTGAAAATGTGTAAGCAAACTAGACTAGAAATATCCTCAGTGACAGTCAAATCTGCATCCCTCTGTTTCTCACTTGCAGTGGAATACAACGGCTTATATAATTTCTGTTCCATGTTTGGGCCTATTTTGGCTGCAAATCAAATAAAGACGTTTTTAAGAAATATCACTACAATAATTCAGTCACAGGTTCCACAATGGGAATTATGTTTGTTATACTAAAACATTAGTTCTGTTTCTGCTTCCACATGAATCTCAGAGCAACAGTTATATTGTGACGCTGATTTAGAAATAGCTGGTCATAACACTACAGCAAAACTGACAGTATAAATTGATAGATACATTTATGTTGTCTGTCTGGCTCATAAGTTATAAAACATTTTACCTTCAGTTAACTTTGCTGCAAGGTAATTATGTTTCATCCTGAAGAGAATATCCAGAGCACCATCTTCCCCATAAACCTGCACCAGTTTATCCACAGTTTGTTCTCTGCGGGCTTTCTTCAGCTGGATCTTCGGTATGGGTTGGTATCCCTTTCTCACATTCAGGATCAAGTACCCCTGAAATGTCTTCAGTGGACTTCTCTATTCCATTTAGCTTGTCCAGGTAATCTTTCAGCATTTTTTTGTTATTTGTTCAGGTCATTTTTAACTTTCAATTGTAAACTGAATGTGAAAGACAAAAAAACAATATGTATGAATGTATGTATGAAACAAAATTAAATACATTTACAAAATCAAAAGCATCATTAAACACATACAGAGTTGATTTGACAATATCTTTCAAATATAGGTTTTACTTACTGGAACATATAGTTTATTGAAATATTGAGTTTCAGGAATCAGTTTTACCTTTAAAAGTCTTTACATGTTTAATCTGACTAGAGTCAGTTTTCACACAGTTTTGTCAATCACTCTTCTCCAGCTACTATTACATAGAATTACTCCACATAACAGTGCAAATAATTTCTCATTAGTGTGGGTCAAGGTGCCAGTGCAGTGCATTCTTTATGGGGTTAACGTTGCTGTTTTTACAGTTCCAGTTTCTACATGCTGCAGTTGTGCCTCTTAAACAGATGGTGGAAGCAAAGTCCAAGTTGTGCCAGGTTTTGCTGTCTCCATGTGCAGTACATGCTGTGGCTCACATGAGTTTTTAAAGCAGATAATGTTAGCAATATTTGTTTGGAACAAGGTTTCTTTCGGGACATGCCTTAAAAATTCAAATAAATTTGGGTCTCTGCAGCACCTCTGGTGAATTAGATTTTACAGCAAATTCTGTAACATTTAAGGATTCACAGTTTTTCGAATCTGCCGTAAAACAATAGTCAGGTACTAATATGAATGTTGAAACAGGTTTCACATCATTCCTTCTGTTCATACCTACAGTCTATGGTCCATACGTCATACTTCATACATGCTTCTTAAAACCCTTTCAATGTAAGTAATGGGGGACAGTGACCAAACCTGTTTCAGTGTTCATACAGTGACAATGGTTTTAAAACAGACTTGAACAATTGCTGACTCATAATAATCAGGTGATTATACACTTGTGACTAAAATACTGACTCTCACTGTAAAACAGATTTGACTAATCTTAAATAAAAAAATATTTTTGAAATCCATGGCATTAAGATTTAACAAAAACCACATCATGTATCGAGGATCTAACCTGTAAGTAATAGTAGTTTATAATGCAAACACAATTTTATTTTTATACAACCAAGCAACTGTATGAGTTGGTGTCACTTTGTAACAAAGATGGTATCTCAGAGGTGTCATACTGTATTTCGCACATTACTTTATTCTGGGAATGTGTGGTTAATTACAAAAGTGTTGCTTCCTGCAGGCTACAAAACTTCAACAGATGCTGAATTGTTTCCAAACATGAATATATATGTGTTTAAACAGATATACATGTATGAATATGTTGTCTCCAGACTGTCTCTTACCACAATGATGCAAACTTGTTTTCCTACAGAGTTTTGGAGGCCTTGAATGCTGCAGCTTTGCCACACTAGTTTGGGCTAAATCCAATATATTCACAAATATTTAGCTATAAGGAGTTGTTCTTATTTCCTCCTCATTTGCTTGTGTAGGTGCTGCCAATGATACTAACCATACACAACAACTTGTTTCACTTTAACTGGTGGAGTTGTTGTTGTTTGACTCGACTGACCTCTCTCTTTTTGAACACTTTTTTACATTACCCTAAAAACACAGCATCTCTGGAAGATATTGACTTGATTTGTCTAACTCAGACTGCTGAAGCATCAAATTAGCTTCAGATAAACTTTTGAATACATTTTTGCACAAAACGAGGACTGTGGATTTTGTCCCCCATGACTTACATTAGCACATTAGGAAGAATATTTTAATGGCCAGTATGAAAAGAAGGAGTTATTACAGCAAGAAAGATATTTTCAATATGCTGTACATCCTGACATTTTTAGAAAATTGTGAACCTATCTTTTAATGTTCATTTAAAATTGTTTCGTTTTAAATTTTTCTAGGCAGATTTGAGGTGTCAGTTCTGGCTATTTGGAATAATGTGGTTACAGCTGATGGCTGTAGTTTTCAGAAGGCCTAGGTAGAGTCAACAGGGACAATCAGAGGCACCCTTGAGCAGCCAGAGCATCAGACAGTGCCCCTGAAGTAAGAGTAGGTTTCTCTGAGTAAAAAATAAAAGTATTAAGACGAGACCTCAAACTTTGAATGACTAAACTCTACGATCATCAAGAACAGCAGCTGAGTACATGTAACCTCTGTTTTTTGCTGTGATGTTCAAAAACGGGACCATTATTTATTTATCATGACTGAGCTGACTGTGCACACTGGCATTTCATCACCAACACACTGCTTTTCACCCAAACAGCTACACACTAGGCAGTATCTATTGAAGGACGGAAGAGCGTTACTCATTCACTTCCCCCAGTCGGATTACTTCTCCAAAGCAGTGCAGAACAGGAGTGTCATGACTCAGCTCTTGGCCCCATCCACTCTCTCAGTTGTGATGATGTAACAGATGGCATGTTCACCCTCATCGGTCACAACAAAGGAAAAGTCATGCCTAAATGTATCACAGCTACTGAAGCTCCATTTACACAATTAGTCTATTCTGGATACAAACGGAGCTTCAGTTAGCCATGGGAGTCTGCTACAAACAAAAATGCCATATTTTGGCTCTGCAGATAATACTGCAGGAATGTTATAGCTCCAAGAAGGCATGGAAGACCTGCATGGGTGTGTGGCTGCAAGATTCAAATGGCCCCATTCAAAAGGACAAGAGGCATGAAGCTGGATAGATTTTCTCTACTTCTGATGCTACTGGGTTATACTAGATATGTTTCCTGTCCTGCCTGCAGCTAGATTCAGTAAGGGGGAAGTGAGTGAAGTGCACTTAAGGTAGTGAAGCATGCACACCAATGCAAGATGTCTCCATCTAAGTCTGATAAAACCGTGTGACCATAATTATCCAGTCATCAGCTTTCCCAATTAGCGTTTTCCCTGAGCTTGTGTGGAGCCAAATCGCAAGGTGCAAGCACGTCAACGCCATTTTCGAAAGTGCTGAGTGCGTTTTTCACAGAGCGGTGGCATGGGAACACCAAGTGATGTCAGCATAGATAGCGACCATCTTTTTCCACTGCAAAACCAAGAGGGAAGTTCATATAAAGGGCTGGACTTCTTTCTCATGTCACAGTAAAGTCAAGAGTCAGTCTGCTGGTCTTGAGTCATACAAGAGTCTAAAACACACATTAAGTGTATAGTGCAGAATGGCAGTAGTATGACTGTAATAATACTACAATATGGAAAATTACACATTCCCTCACTGAGTGCCGATTTCAGCTGAGACCATCCTACTTTCTCTTCTCTCTGTGCTCTCACTCCTCTTCCCTCCTCTGCTCCTCTGTCTCTCATCAAGCGGGCAAGGCGTAGTGTGTGGTTGGTGTGAGATAACAAAGGCTGAGGAGTTCACCATTATATAACTTCTGTGGAGGCTGAGGAGGTGTAGGAAGAGGAGGAGAGGCAGCAGGGTTAGCACGTAGGAAAAGGAGGGCAGGAGAGGGCTAGTAGCCTACGTTGCAGTGCTCATTTGTCTTCCACATAACGCACACACACACACATGCTGGCCTCCTTTCCCTGCTCTCCATCGCGAATTCAGCAGGCTGCACTTGCAGATATGGCCTCATAATATTTGAACTTTTCGGTGTTTCAGCTTTGTGTTCCCACGCTGACAACCACACACAAAGATTTTGCTCTCTTTCTCTCTGACAGTGTCCATGTGAGCTAGAGTTCTGAGCAGGCAGCCACACACGCATGCAATCTCACACGCACAGGGCCACTAACTCTCAAGCACTGTGGCTCCCTCCAGCCCCACCCGCCTGTCCTCTGATGGCCTCCCACTCATGCCACATTAAACATTTAGTGAGGCACTCTGGATCTGTGTGACACCATCTTTTAGCGCCGCCAAGCTAACAGCTCTCACACTGTGGAAAAACATAGGTGCACACATGCTCGTCGGTGGAAACCTGATACAGCAGTCACACTATTCCCTTTACCCATCCCTATCTGTCTTATGCACATGCACGAACGCAAAGGCAAAATCAGTGGTTCAGAAAGTGAGCTCTCTGTGTTGAGAGCAAGACCTGCATTAATCAATATTGATTCCTGGAGTCTGTATGAGCATGTATACTTGTGTTGCAATGTGTTTGTGTGTGTGTGTGTGTGTGTGTCACAGTTTGTCTCTCTGCTGCAGTGAGGTGTGACCCAAGGTTGGGTGTATCCCAACCCCAACCAGTGCAGTAAAATGCTGCTGTGATGTTCCCTGCAATATTTTTGAAGAGATGTGAAGAGACAGGCCCTGGATGTCACAAATGCTGTTTCTCCAGCCAGTCGTATCCCCCATCGCGGGATTGTGTAGCTTCATTATGTCACCTAATTGTGATCTTACTGTCCGCCAAAATGCATTTTGTCTTAACAAGCTAAAGAATTCAGTACCATCTTCCCACATTTTCAGTGACTTCATTGAACTGGAAGACTTGGTCTCATGCTGCACGAGCCTATTCTCGCGAGGATTCCTACCCTTCACACACACACACACACACACCACTATCATCATCATCATCACTCCTCCTCCTCCAGCCCCTCCCGTTCCGTCGCTGCTCGCCTCTATCCTCTTCAGCTTTGCCTGCCTGTCAGAAAGGTACTCCAGTATTGGAGGCTAGGCTACCCTCCTCCCGGATCCCGTACGAGAGCCAGCCACCGTCGTACCCCAAGGCTCGGGCTCCCCACTCACGGCTTCAACAATGGCAGCCCCCGTTACCACCAGGTTTACCGACGAGTACCAGCTGTACGAGGAGCTCGGGAAGTAAGCAGCAGACGTAACGTTACAGTGTACATCGTGTTTGTCTTGTCGTTTTGTCCCCCACCCCCGCAACCTCGCCTCATATTATTTCTGGTTAGCCAGCTAGCGGGCGATAGCTAGCCAGAATACATTACAGACTAGTCATATTGAGTGTTTTAATAATTTGTCAGTATGTGTTAACTGGAGTATGTTGTTGTCGTGGTGCAGTCAGACTAAATAAGCGTTGCTATCGGCTAACTAGCTGCTCCCGCATTAACGCAGCGCACTAACGTTCAGTTTATAGCCAACGAGCTA